ATGGACAATGGATGACGAGAAATTGAAGACCAGCATCAAATATATCGATAAAACTCTGCTACAAATTTTTTTGGTAATCGCTTAAGAAAAAAAAAAATATTTCCCAAGCCAAATTTCCTTTCAAACAAGCGATTTCGTAATTTTTTTGAAAAACGTGTTTTTGGTACATTTCGAACCTATTCGTCAATATCTCATGAAAAAATTATCCAATCAACATAAGCGACCTACAGTCCTCTTACAAAAATATATTACTTTGCCAATTTCGATGAAAATTATTAGTGTTACAAGCGACCAAAATCGAAAAATTTAAATTTCAATCATTTTCTTTTTACAGTAAATGAAAATCTGATGAGAAATGTAGATGTTACGGAACACAATCTGCACAAAAAAAATGTATTTTTGCAAAGAGCCCATCAATACCTTTCGAACTGTTGGTCGTTTCATGAGATATTGAGGAATAACTGAACAAGTACTAAAAATACGTTTTTCGAACAAAACTCGAAATCACTTCTTTGAAACCATGGGTATTTTTTTCGTGTTCAGCGACCCAAAGTTTGCCTAAAAAATTTACTTTACAGAGGTTCATATTTCGTGTAAAGTAATATGTAATATGCCTTATTATAATTTTGTAAATATTCATTACCAATGAAGCAAATGTCATTTATGTTTAAAGTTTAAAATTGGATTAATAATTAAGAAATATACACTCTTCGTTATTTGAATAGGGCATCCTTTTAATACTTAGTCGGTACAGTTTTCCTTCTGTTTGTTTAATATTCATTAACTTTTTATAAAAGTATAGCATATTCTACGTCTACATCTCATTAAAAAAATTTTTGAAAATTAAAAAAATAAACATAGGGCCACATTTTTTTTGTTGACTGTGCTGCGCATTTTCTTCCATATAAAAATTTTTTCAAGCATACTTTGTATTGTAAACAATCAAAAAAAGGGTGCGCTATTCAAATGACGAGGAATGTATATATGTAGTATATTTTTGTTATTTTAATACTACGCAATTATATGTAGGTAAATTTTTTGAAAAATTGTCCTGCATTTTCAAAATATATTTATGGTCACCGTAAGTATAAGGTGTTAATATAAACGAAATCCGCCAAGAAATGCGCCCACTTCCCATATAACGGTATTTTTTAAAAACTCTAAATGTTATATTTGAGAAGCT